GGCAGAAAGTCTTCCTGCTTGTCGCATTGCGTTGATTCTAGTGATCCTGGTGTCGTTCAACATGCCCATTGCTGGGCTCGCGAGTATCATCTCTTTGGTTGCATGTTGCCTTCTGATCTGCCGCTGATGAAGTGCTGAGGGCAGCTAGTTGCTCATTACTATTGTTGTTAGCATCGTCACTGTAGTACTGTGACAGTGAGGTTGTTGGCCCTGAGTAGCCAGGCCACTGTCTTCTTGTTATCCTTCTACTGTGTCGTGAGCAGGCAGTCGTCTCCTTGCAGGTGCTTTCATTTCCATTTGGAATGTTATTGCCTTGTTGCTTTGCCATGATGCCACAGGTAGAACGATCGGCGTTATCGTTGCTAAATTTCGATGTGTTGCAATGTTCATTGGTATACTGTTCTGACTTGCTGACCATCCCCAGCTACCGTTCTCGAAAGATGTTGATGCTTGCAGAGCATGCAGCTGATAAGCGAACAGCGTTCGATAGCTTGGGGCTTCTAAAGTGCCCCACAGCAAAGAATTACAAATGTGTGGCTTACAGCTTGTCTCGTTCATGCTGCGAACCGCTTGGTTGCCTTCCCTTCGACACCGGAGAAAAGCTAAAAGGCCATGTGTTCAGATCTTGGACAGCTTAGGCCATCCAGCTTAGTGGCCAGTTCCCCGGGGGCCGTCAGGGTTGGGTTTTTTTGGAACACCTGTGTTTGCAGTGTTGGTTTAGGCAGTTGTTTTATGGGGCTCAGTCAGGTTCTCGGATGCTGATTTGTGAGTGGCTGATGGGCTTAGCGTTTGTGGAAGGTGTGGATTATCAGGCTATCAGGATCGCAAGCATGATCGTCTTCGTCGTGTCTTTCCTGCATCGCCGTCACCTTTATCATATCTGCCGGATTCATGATATTCCCCAGACCTATCAGTGAGCAGGAGATTCCTACTCATACCAGTCACAGTTTTAACACTATACTATGTACAACGGAAGTCACGGTCAGAGTGGCGGTGCCCTACGTAGGGAAGTCTGCGTGCTGTTGGGTCAGTGCTTCCGGCCTCAGATCCAGACATTGGGCTTTCAAGCACAAGGGCAAGGTCGGATCTTGCGAAACACCACATGGCATGGAGATAATCCTGTTTCCCGTTGACTTCAAGATATGGCTCGTATGGCGAGAGAATTTTTGGGATTCCCGAGAGGTCCTTACCATAGATATATTACAAAAGACAAAAGCTCAAGACCCTACTACAATTCTTCAGGCCCCTTTTTTTTGTGTTCTTCAATAAGGTTGTGAAGGAGGATTGGGTCAAGAACTACACTCCTTGAAGTGCGATAAGTTCTAAACGCTTCGAGCTCAGGCCACAACCTCCTTCGGCGGAAAGTCAAGGTGGAACTGTGGACAGACAATGACATGGGCACTCTGGCAGCAAAGCCATGTGAGAACGTGGCATGAGGGAAGCAGATGAGCATGCGTGCGTGTGTGTGTGTGTGTGTGTGTGTGTGTGTGTGTGTGCGTGTCTGTGTGCGTGTGTGTCTGAGTGTGTGTGTGTGTGTGTGTGTGCGTGTGTGTCCTCGTCGTATTGGTCCCTACGCAGTCCTTTTGACTATATGGTCCTGTGATTTGCATTAGTTATTAGTCGTCGTGGTAGCTGGTCACAAATGCAATGTCAATTTGCTGGGCAGACAGCTCATCGTGAAAGTATTTCAGTACTACCAGCCGGAGTTGCTATCGCGATCTGCGCGATGCTCATCACAAAGTAATCATGTGACTGCTTTCTCTCCTTCTTTTGTAAACTTCAAGGCTTGCTTATGAGTGTGCTGGATCCTGAGCACCCCTGCAAGATGGTTCGTGCTAATGCAGATAGCGCCTATAAGGGAAATTACAAGTGCGAGGTCGCTTAGGTTCATAGGTTCACATAGACCTGTGCTTTGCTGTTTTCGTTATGGTTCTTCATGGCATGTCTTTGGGGAGAAGTCCCTGCTTCGTCTTATGGCTGGCCAAAACAACTTTCCTCTCCTTCGCTGTGTGATCTGCAGGCTTTCCCCTGCCTCTCCTGTGCAAGTTGCACGGCCACAGTAGGTCCAAAACCCAAACCCAGGTCCCAAAAAAGCAGCATCTCGATCATCCAGCTCAGGCCAGAGCACCGTGATGGGGGCGAAGCCGCTGAAACCGTTTCCTGCAAAAAATAGCATGCCTGATGGCAGTGTGGGATTTCGCGCCGGCGCAATAGCATTTAATTTGTGGTGCAGTCTTTCAATAAGTCGTCGCATTCCGGCAGAGTCCGAGACGGGGATTTCATGAGAATGCTTGGTCGTGTCTATTTTGGGGGCTTGGGCTTTAGGCTTTGAGAACATTTCGAGTCTGAATTAGAGTCCAGGGCAATTGGGGTTCAGAGTTTGATTTGTTTTCGCAGCTGCTGGCAAAAGCCTTCTAGGTTTTTCATGAGGGTGGCTTTGCTGTGAGCCTACCCCTGTTTAGATTCCAGAACACCTGTGCTTGTGAGGCCTAAGCACAGATACCTCTTTAGGAACTTCGTATCTTCGGCCGATTCCCATGACCAGGGAACAGCTGGTTTTCGACAGTGCTAGAGAGATGCAAAAGCCAAGGTATGTCGGACCACTGCCGGATGAACCTCCTTTCAAGGCGATGATGATTTCCAGACGGAGAGATAGGTTCACGTATGACATACGTAGAGAGACATAGACAGACAGATGGAGAGAGACAAACAGACAGACGTTCATGCATGTATGCCACTCCACACGTCCCTGTCTACCGACTGGTCTATAGGCGAATCAACGAATCCATGCAGAGGTACAGTTCTGCTTGTCTACATGTCCATGTATCTTGGTGCTTTTGCGATGTGCAGCCTGGAGTGTGGAGTCTAGTCCGGACCACCGACATGTCACAAGGGGATGTAAGTAAGTAGGTGGGCATAAGTTGGCTGCAGTAGCAGGTCGGAAGAGACATTGCTTGTAGGTCTCACACTTGCTGCTTAATGCTGCTTGAACAGAGGTGCACCCAAAGACAGCATGCATGTCGGCAAGTGCCAGTGAGCACATACACGACCCCGTGGTCTACATTTGAGCGGTTCCAACTATCTACACGTTGTTATTTGGATGTTTACAAACAAGCGGAGAGTGTGCGTGTGCACGTACGTTCGTGCGTGCACACCGTCGCGAGAACGGTCCACCTGAGCCCTGGAACCCTACATCAGCCTAATTCCCCTGCCTCATGCGAGGGTGAGCGTCAAAACCCCTTCTGGAGCCTAAACCGTCAACCCCAAAACCCCCTGAACCCTAAACCCTGAGCGCTCTTTCTGACCAGCAGCGAGGGGAGAAAAGGGCCGTCTAAAAAAAAAAAAAACCTGAGCGCAACGGATTTGGCTCTGCGCTGTAGCTCCCTGCAGGTCATCGTGAAGGGCCTGGACAAGTCCGTGAATCAGCGGGACTGGTTTTACTTGGTAGGTTTGGGGTGGGGCTTTTGGAGTTGAGGGCTCGCTGGAGTTCATTCAACAATATATATATATATATATATATATATATATATATACTATTTTTGTCATACATACACGTATATCAGGTTGAGGCTTTCTCATTGAAAAACTGTGGCGATCTCTGCATATACGGGCGGAGGATGGCCACGACTAACGACCACCCAGGCAGCAATCGAACACTGACGCCGGCGCACCCGAGGCTGCAGAAACGTCTCAGCTACGGCCGGAAAGGTCTCTGCTGGACAGCTTTTCGTTCTGTGTTCACAGTATCCTGGAACATGCTTGAGCCATACTTGCATTCAACGCCAACGTTGCACAGTCAGTCAAGCCTTGCTACCTCTATCAACCAATGCTTCAATACAGGGCTTCCACCCCAAAAGTGCTAGAGGAAGGTTCGACTCAGAAAGATTGAGTCCGCGACTCGACCTAGTCAAGACTTGAAGTGGTGGTGTGCATGTAGTTGGAAGGACTTGGGCTACTTCTTCTGGGACCGGGATTGCGAATGCAAGGAGGTGGCAGTCGGCTTAGTTCCCGGAGCCGCAACTTGTGGCCGTTCAGGTATTGTGCCGGCTGTGGTTAGGGCCCAAAAACAAGTGATTCGATGCTCCTGCTGTTTCAAGGTCTACCCTCTCAAAAACGAGAGACACGCAGGAACCGTGGAGTTCAATGACAAGGAGCGTGCGTGATTTTTAGTGGGTTTTCAAGGAGCCTGAAGTAGACTGCTTTGTCAGTTTTGGGTTTCCACTTCTAGAGCAAGTAGCAGTCGGGGTCGGGCATGTTGCCAAAAATCTGGCCCCCATCTCCTTCTCAGTGCTCGTGGTGGGCAAGAGTTCCACAGATGTTGCTGCTGCCGATGCTACTGGCCATTTTCCTTGCAAATGGTACAAGTGTTGTTTCTCGGTCAGCACGCGGAGAAATATGAAGCTTCACAAACCATGGTCAAGTGCAGCTTACGTTGAAAGCTGCCGTGCTATCCACGTGGTGCACCGCATTGTCAACGAAGAAGTATCGTATCCGATTCTTCAAACCTTTGCAAGGAGTCCTTGAGGAAGGCGCTTGGCTTGAACTCGTGCGCCCCACTGCGGTGGCTGCATACAGGGTTTGGGTTGAGGTTGCGATGCTTGGTTGGAGGTTGGCTTCCTCTTCGAGGTTTCTGGCTTCTTGGTTTGAGGTGGAATGGTTTGCTTGCTTGTTTCGGGTTCCCCAATGTAGAGGTCAAGGTTGCACTGTTATCAAAGGCTGCAAAGTTGGTTTCTTTCAGGAAGGCTTTTGAGAAAGGTTGCCGAGAGTGTTGAGTTTGACTTTCTTCTTCCGACTTGCATTGATCCTCCCAGAGCATTGTTTCGCGGAATCTGTTCAGCACGTTCTATGTACTACAAAGCCAGCGGTTTCATATTTCGAGAGACCGCTTGGGCCTCAGAAGCTGCATCGTGCGCGCGTAGATGTTGTGGCCGTTTCGTCTTCCTTTCTCCGTCGGCTCGCTCGCAAGCCTATGCGCATAGTTTCGGCGAGCCTGGAGAGCAATGGCGCAGCAGCAGCCCTTGCTATCCCAGGAGGATGGGAGCCGAATCCAGACCTTCCGTGTGTTAGGGTGGATGTCTAACACTTTCTGCCGAAGCGATTAAATGAAGAAAAAGTACACGGGAGTTCAAGATATTTGTGTGTGTGTGTGTGTGTGTGTGTGTGTGTTCGTATATGTGTATATGTAATACACATACACGCAGACACACCCACACGTATCGGCTGACGTTAAAGCAGGTTTAAGAATATGTATATATATATATATATATATATATATATGTATGCTTTCATTCCACCCTTCTTTGTTGGCACCCCGTATGCCATAGAGTCTTGCATCTTCAAGCGACAAGCGCGTGAGCATGCAAAAGGCTGCACGGGCGTCACCACGCTGTTAGGCTTCGAATAAACCGCAAACCTAAATCCGCCGCACCAGAAAGCATCTCTTGTGGTGACCAACATGGTCGTTTGCTACAGTACATACTTTGCACGGTTCTTGTTGAACGGAGCAATGACGAGAATGAACACCCCATCGAACGGCATCTTGAAGCATGAGCAGGATGGGCGAGGACACCAAATGCAAGCAGCAAACGTGCAACTTCTTGCTCAGCTTTGCCATCCCGGAGATTTCCTTTCCGCCAAAATTCGCACGAGCCACTCGGGCGTAGATCTGGGAGGGTTTAGGGAAGAAGATTTCTTCAGGCTTCAGAATGCTAAGGGCTTTTGCCAGGAGGTAACAGTAGTTCCTTTGTTGGGTTAAGGTGTGCTCACAGAGCTGCAGGCTACGACAAGCATACCGCATCATGCCGCTTGAGGCCGCTATGTAACGCAGGCGTCAGAATACGGACACATAGTATCACATAATGGTCTTCCCCAGCACCAGAAGATTGTCGCACACACAAACTATAAGTATAACTATTAAGGTCCCTATGTTCACCGTCAACCGAGCACAATTCGAGAGTGCAGAGCGGAGCCTTCTGTCATACACTGCAGGGGCTTGAAGAAGGTGTCACTATATTGAGATGATATTGCAAAACAGTTTTTCAGGATCATATATCAGTTTTTTCATGGCAGAATATATGCTCTTCTAGTATGATGCTAGATTTCTGCTTGTGTCGCAAGTAGCAGTGATTCTTTGTCAAATGGTCGAATATATACCGTAGCAAAACCGAGAGCAAACTGACAATACATGGGTTTAATGTAGAGCCTGTGCACGACGGGCTTCAGCTCTGCACCAACACCGAGAACACTGCAAACGTAAAGGACGTTATGGAGCAACTCACGCACGAAGGAAAAGGAAGCCACAACGGGGCCAAAAATCCAAGAGCGTAAACTGACTCTAGAGCCAAGTGCCGAAGCTCCCTTCCCTGCATACAAATACACTGTAGCATATGAATGCCGTGATTTAGAAACCCCATACGAAGCCAACACAACACCGTCTAGCAGTCCAGCCTTTCTTGTGACAAGGTTTGGTAAGAGAGACCTTGCAATGCGTCGTCTGTTGCCCAGCTTGTCGGCAGTTGCAGGCACTTGGCCCCCTCTCTTTACAGGATCATGGGACCTAGTAGCAAGGTTTATAGGTAAGGTAGCTATAACCATAGTTACTTCTAGCCCCAACTAAGCTACCTGAAACCTTACTGTAACAATAGTTATTTATCGCCCCAACAAAGCTACCTGAAACCTTACTTACCTGGGGCCTCAAGGGGTGTCTTTGACAGGGGGTGTCGGAGTTGGAAGTCCAGGCTTGGGCTTGAACAGGAGGATATGGGCTCTATAACCATAGCATATGTAGTTAATGAAGATGAACAGGTAATTAACATGTCTACACACATATCTGTGTGCGTATGTATACCATATTCTACAGCCTACGTTTGTTATGTTTTAAGTTAAACTAACTTTTTCTGTGTTGATGGTCTTCAAGAGGGGTTGCTGTGCCGAACACCGGTATCGGGACGTGATTGACTCGTGCTCTTGGCAGGTTGCATAAGCCACTGCTCCACACTCTAGAATTGCTGGAAGGAAGGGAGAGACACTCCTCAAGCCCAGGAAGCCAGGCATCTCTGCATTTGTAGTAGTTCAACCTCCACTCGTCGAGATTAGCATGAAACACGTCGGAACATCTTCCCCAAGCTTTCGGAACTTCTTTGTGCCTTTCCTTATTAGTCGGTCAGCATGCAGGCCCAGAAGCCATCCCCTGAGACTGCCTGGGATACAATCTTCGCTGCACCGCACAGCTGCTCGGCCTGTGTCTTTCGATTTAGATTCTGTTTTCTTTTTTCCAATACTAGGACCCTTGCTTCATAGGGACCCTTACATGAGGGGGGAGGGGGAAAGGGACTGGCTCTTTCCTGCTAGGGCCCACGAGGTAGGTTGCAGCTACGGCATGCCCACCGTGTTTGACTCTCTGTTCGTCTTGCATCCCTATCTTTCTGTATGCATGATTGCATACATAGCAATGAGCCAAGGTGCCTACGCATTCTTTCGTGCATGTAGCTGAATACTTCACATGCATGTACCTTGCTACAGCTGGAGGAAGGTCGGTACAGGTGTTTGCTCATAGTCTGCGAAGTCACGCAGGTGTTCTTTTCAGTGTCATCTATCAAAGGGAGCGTGAGCTCAGGCTTCCACGAGCCCGATGCTTGCTACGGCCTGGGGGTCGTCGTCCATGCTCTCGCCAACACCCAGAACCTCTTGAAGCTTGGATATTCTGAGCTTGATTGTATGCTGTCGTGACTAGATCCGTTCGTGCCCTACTGCCGTGAACTTTGTCCTGAGGAAAGAGGACTGGTACCACAAGGCCGTGGAGCATGTTTGGGCCACGCTTCAGAAGCTAGGCGAGGTGCCGCCCGAAGCCAAGGACACAGCGCAGGAGCGGCTGTACTTGGGTCGCAAGAGCTCTTTTTTGAATCGTGGTTGATGTCGATGAATGTCTCAACTTACACGCTGAGTCTTAGCTATACATGTAGAGCTTTTGTGTACTGCTAAACCGGGAGAGAGAGAACTAATTCTGAAACAATCCCTGTGAGATGTATGTCGACTTCCCAAACCCCCAGACCGCCATAACTCAGACCGGGCCACCTCACCTGCAGTCTCCGAGTTGCGAGAGTCCAAACCCTCAGTCCAAGGTACCGCATGACCGAGTTCATTGCTTGTGTTGCTCTGGCAGTGGGCCACCGCACATTCTACCGCGCCCTTGGCAAGGAGCGACTCTCCAAAGTCTGGAGCTAATGAGGATTAGGGGACAGTTTCAGGTCAAAAGGGGTTTACAAAGCTTCGGCTCTAGGGTGCCAGTGGATGCACTTGTACCGGCAGGGTTCAGATTGCTGAACCGGAAAGCTCATGGTTCCGTTTTTTGCATGCATGCACCCTGGTTCTCGCCTTCAGCACCAGAGTCTAACACCGAAGCCTATGTGGGAGTTTCTGATAATTAGGGGTACCTTAGTTTGGGGTCCTCATAATAAGGATCCTACTATTTAGATTACGTAGGGTCCCCTATTTTCGGAAACCCCCATGCCACAGACTCTTTCCAGGAGCCGATTCTCGATCAACCTCCGATGCCGTCGCCGCGCTCCTATTCAAACAATGGCGCCCCCATGTTCAAGACCGCTGAGGAGGTCTCCAGCCGGCTTGGAAGGAAGGACAGGACGAAGCATCACCTGCTGCAACCCTACCTACCATACTATGCTGATCTAGACTGTAATGTATTGCATTCAACTATATTTCCTACGCCATGCTGTACTCTACTATACTATACAGTACTATACTACATATTACTTTGTGAAACCTTGCGGTACTCGTAGTGGCATCGGTCTTTGCATCTCACTTCCCGTCCTGATCTGTCTTCTGTCAGTACCAGGATAGTACAAGGCGTAGACCCGTTGAGGATACTAGAACTGGACAGCGTTGCATCAGACCGACACCCTCATGTTGACACTTACAACATGTTCGATTGTAGTGATCGTCGACGTCAGGGTGCTATGGTGAGAGACTCACCCAACATCCAGAAGAAACCCCACTCTGCAACATGAAGAAGTGTTGCCTCGGTGGTGTTATCCAAGGGAAGCTGAGGAATACTTCGCACTTGGGAGGCATGAGCAAAGAGAGCATGGTTTGGGGTATAGGGTGGTTGTATGCTTGCCGGGGATGTCATGGTTACGCCGCCGACATGCTTTCGATGTTCCAACGGCTCGGGAGACTTCCGAGAAGCGAGTCCAAGTAAAGCATCGCACAAGCATAATACCGTTCAGCAAGGCGGCGGGCCTGCGCTGGAGACTTGCTCTTTCCACTGTCCGCGCGCAACACGTGGCCACACAATTGCTGTCTACCACTTCTTTCCAAAAGATCCTCCAGCTTGTAACCTTGACAACTCGGTGCGACGCGACCGGCAACGACGACCACGCTGAAACCCCACACCTTAAAGCTTAAATGCAGGGTTTGTAAAGTCTTGCACCTTGCTCCAGGAAGGCTGTGGATGGGGCCCTTGCCTCGACAAGGCAAGCCTCACTCCGGGCTTGAAGCTTGCGAATGGAGCTCCGCGGCTGAACTTGGCTTTGAAAGACTTTCCTGCTGATTTCTCGGGAAGGGTTGCTGGAGCTGCTTCAGACAGTAAATTGTTAGCTTTTGGTCAAGGCACAGGCTGTACTGTCTCTAGTAGGGGTCGCCCCGGTCTGCGTGCGTTGTGGGCCAGTTGAAAACAGAGAAACACCGGATGCAGAGAATACATGGCTGTTTTGGCGAGCAGTTCCCTTGTGAATGGGTTTTGACACTCAACCTGTAGGGTCAGACTCTGCCCCTTTGTTAGAGTACTTGGGGAGGTTCCAAAGGTGCTTTCACAAAATATACCTACATCTACCCTAGCGCTCTATAAATGGCGGCTTCTGCGCCGTTAAAAAACTCTCAAGCACAGCATGTGTCATGGTGTGGTGCTTTGTCTTCAGCGCTTTTGCCTCATCTCAGTTTTCGGTGCGGGTTCGTTGTCATGCCGCTCGTCCTTAAACGAAGTCTCCGCACTGGAGGAACTTTTGGCAGATTGCTTCACTTGGCAGCTGCGCCCGCAAGTGCCCACAAGCAAGTGGACCCCAGCCTTGTCCACAGGCCTTGCAGTGGGGCTACGGCGGCTGGGGCCGAGGGGCAAAAGAGTGTATGATAAGAATAACGAGTATTAAGGTATCGATGGGCACGACTAAGTGTATCCACAAGCATTTTACGCGAGCTACAACTGCTAAGGACCCGAGCTAGAGCATTGGTGCCACGCAGCTGTTAAAAAGCGAAACCAGGCATTGATATCCCCATTCTGGGCCAAACACAGCTTTACTTTAGTGACGATGGGCTCAAATTAATCCTTTCGAGCTCGAACTCCAAGTCCGGAAAATGGAAAGAACCAAGGCAAGCCAGAAAGATACGCGGTGCAAGGCACACTCCTGTCCCGGAGCCCCTTTAAGTCCAAACTCCCATTTCTGACGTCTACTTCGCTGGTTGACTACACAAATTTAGCATCGATCATAGATGCGCACCCATGACCCTGTACCGGAACGGCAGATCTCGAAAGGAAACTCAGCAATCGGGCCCATTTTCTTTCCCAAACTCTGGACCGAGCAGGTGTTGCCTTCTTTGATTGGGGGAGCTCCCACTACGTGCCCATCAACCGCGGTGCCGGCCTCATTTTCCTACGCACTTACGAGCGTATTATGTAGTTGGGTCTCCTTATATATATATATATATACATATATGCAAGAGATATAGTTTGGGTTACCTTATCATTCAGACGTCGTGGGTTCTGCTGAGCAAATCCATCGAAAGCTGGAGACCTGGCCAGGCTGGAGGCTGTGAGCTGGTTGCAAAGTTTAGGGTGATATGTGTATATATATATATATAATATACTAATACACTCACTCTCTCTCTCTATATATATATATATACATATATCTAAATCTATATATATATATATATCTCTCTCTCTCTCTCTCTCTATATATATATATATATATCACTCCATATATATAAAACATTGTCGAGTCTGAACCCAAACCTCGTAAGTCCGGCAGCCGCACCTGCCCGAGGTCAGTTTGTCCTGAACAACCTGTGGCAAAAGGCCTGGTGGTAGTGTCTTCGGAATCGCAGCCACTGCGCAGTCGCAGATGCTAGCAGATCGCTTAGTTCCATGAACCCTCAATCAATTGGAGTGCCTTTTCGAGAGGCCCCCGGACGCACCCTGCACCGCGCAGACCTGGAGCATGTGGCTTCTGGCCGGAATTGGTTTAGTGTTCATGGTTGCTTGGATTCAGTAAGGATTCAACAAGGGTTTTATATGGGTTCCCTGATTCCATAACGCTTTTTTTGGAGTCTGTCAGGCTTCTGTAGTGGTTGTGGAGGGGGTCGGGCTTGATTCGGATCTTTCTGTGGGTTTTAGTTCAGAAGGTTTCTGTTATTATGGACCCGGCAGGCTTCTGCAAAGACTTCTGCAAAGGTTCTACGGTGCTTCGGTAAGAGTTCGAAATGGCCATTGCGGCGTTTTATTATGTATTGTTCCTCAGGCGGATCTGCTTCACCAGCTATTTTCAATCGGTTTCAAAGGCCAACCTAGAAAAGGATTGGTCAGAGGTTGAGTAAAGCTTCAAGGTTGCAGGCGTAGGGTTTAGCGGTTGCTTGGTCAGCTTGCTTGCAGTGTACCGGGCGATAGAGGCCCGGCTGCAAAAAAGGCCTGGCCCAGGAGTGAATTCAGCGTTTCCCTTCTGAACCCAAGGTCCTACCCTCATATTATAGTAGCCTACTATAGATCCATTCTAGTAACCCTTATAGACCCCTTAAAAGGAACCCTACTGAAGTGCTTTATGAAGTTATGAAGGTAACCCACTCAGCTGAAGCAACGCGCCGGCCCAGACTCGCAGCGATAAGAATACCCTCAAGCTAGCTTCGATCTCTGCCCGCATTTATAGGGGCCTTAAGAATTATACTATTATGGTTTCAGAAGGCTTATTATTTGGGTTCCTTTAAAGGGTTATGAGAAGGGTTTAGTATGGGGGCCTCAATAATTACCTTTACTATTTTTGGGCGGGGGCTTCCTTATTGTAGTTACTGAAGACTTCGTATTCTTCTGGTCCCTAACTATGTACATCACAATAAACCACTAAGCCCTGTTCCAATAGTCATAAGGGCAGTACAGGATTCTGAGAAGCCGGCACCTGACGTCCTGCATCGGATTCCTAGGCTGGGGGTTGGGGGAGCCGTGACTCAGAAGAAGGCCTTGAATCGGAGAGCCCAACCCCCAACAGCCGAAACCCCAGATGCACTGATGGATTCAGTTGCAATGCAACGCACCCCCTGATGACGAAAGCATCGATCCCAGATGCGTTATCTTAGTTCACTGCTTTATGTCGTTTCAGGGTCGTAGTTCTGATTGCATTTTCAGCATCCCTCTTATTGGGGCTGTGATCCATGTTGACACCGCGCCGGCCCTTTGCTACTTGTCGTGTCGCCGTCGTGACGCAGGGTGTGTGTACTCTTGTCGCTTCCTTGTCCGAGCGCTCCAGCCGTTACAGGCTGCCCACGGATAGTCTTCGTCCTTCGTTGCGGTGCTATGGGGTTGGAAGCTTTACGACTTTGGGAGCTGGTTTGGGCGCGATAGGCTTTCCCCAACAGAGGGGTTTAGGCTTCAATGTGACCGCCTGATTTTCATGTCGATAGACCTGGCAGGCACTTCGTTTTGGCCCTCACAGTCCCCAGCGTAAGAGCCTAGTGATTCTTTGTTCCAGCCTTTCTAGTAGTTCGTCCAACAAGGCGAAGGGATACACTGGAGCCATCGCCTGCTCTTACTGACCGCGGGCAGGGGGGCCGGCATCATCGCTGCACCATGTCGATCGTAGGTATGTATATATACAGCAAGCGTCGCACTACAGGCCCGAGTTTTGCACACTATAGGCTAGGATTTCCAGAAATATGTACTATGCACATGTGTACAAGTACAGGTTGGTTCATGTCTCTTGCAGGTCTTTTACTACATGCATATGTCTCTTTGTTTAAACACACTGGATGGTCGGATGCAGCTCCATTAATCGAGCAGTTGGTTTTACCGGAGCTGCTGCCTTGTTAGGTACTTGTGGTTTTCCACCTTGCAGACAAGACTTGCGTGAATGACACATTCGACCGCATTGGAACCTTTCATCAGTGAGTGGATGTGAGGATTTGTTGATGGATGCGGGCTGATTGTCAAGGTGTGAGATTCTGAGGAGACCAATTTTCCCAAAGACTGATGAGAAAAGGAACTGGAAGGAAACATTGTTGCATATCACAAAGTGTAACAGGCAGAGCACTGAGGATGGATATGTGTCTGCCAGGGTTCCCTGCTGAATACTTGTTGGAACTCCTGCAGCCTTCAGGAGAGGCCAGTACCCCTTGCCTGCAAATTAGAGTCCCCCTATACTCTTTTTGCGTAATTCGGGAGCCGGAAGCGGTCACGTGTTAAAAACGAACCGACAGTCTATGTTGGAGAGAGGGTCTCAGGCGTTGTGTTTGGCCTTTCTTGTCGGGGTTGGGTTGTTTGGTTGTCGGGAACACTGTTTTGTTGTTCTTGTCGGGGTTTAAGCCCCCTGTCCCTGTCTATGTTGGGATCCACCTGAAGTCCCTCTGCTTTGAACCGTACGTCCGAATCCCTGGACTTTGCTTTCTCTAGGGTTCCAAAAAAGGACGCAAACATAAACTTTTGGTTGGGATATCCCTACCTCATTGCTTTGTTTATAAAGGGGCTTGTGGGATATCCCAACCTTCTGGATTTTGTTTAGGTACTTTTTTGGGTCCCTATTCTCGACTCAGGATTTCAGTTGCCGCACCCTTTCTGCCAAGCTATGAGGGTGGAAACCCTTGAAGCAGTGCAGTCATTCCCGGCAAACGCGAGACCCAATATCTGAAAAAACGTAGCGCAAATCCGAATCCCAAACTCAAAAGCAGTGCTTCAAGGGTCTATGACTGGTGGGGCCAGGACACAACTCTCATGGAGCGCTGGCCAGCTTTCTGATTGCTTTTGATGCTGAAACGAGCTCCTTCCCCGAAGAGATTCTGGAACCTTGGAGCTTTGCAGGCTAGGGCTGAGCAATTCTTTTTTTTCGGTTTTTGTCTGTTCGGTAGTCCCGGGTAGATTGGAGGGTTTCTTCGGGGGGTCCTCTTAGGTGTAGAGCCTGAATTTGTCTACGCTTTGTTTTAGCATTTTCCAGGAGAAGACCCATCCTGGCTATTCTCCTAGCGCTTGAGACACCCTACAACCCGAACCCGTATCTGGCCAGTAGGGAAACAGCACAGCCGCCGAGGAGTTGGGCAAAGCTGTTGGTGCCTCGTCGGAAGCTGCACAAGTTTCACATGCGTACATGAGCGGATGCGTGCGCGCACTAACACACCCACCCACACACACACACATAGTCATATATATATATATATATATATATATATATACACATGTACACACACACACACATATATATATATATATATATATAGATATGTATTGCATGTGTATATGTATATACATACATTTACATTTACATGTACAGACATACGTGTATATATCTATATACAAGGATACCGGTTTAAGCGCTATAGACCTACCCGTACATCAGTACATACATAAGCACATAAACAAAAGATAACTCCATGTGTATGTATACAGTTATATATACGTTTATATGTATGTACAGCTGTCGACAAAGACAGAGACAGACAGACAGGCTGGCAGGCAGACAGACAGACCGACATCTCACGTACATGCATGCCATGCATGCATACGTACACACCTACACACACATGCAAACAAACAGACATCATTAAATCCTTGATGTGAATGTGCGTGTATACAGATGTGTATCACATACCACACACGAACACGCAGGCCCCTGCATATGGTCATCTCCCCCCTCCCCTCTTTGTTTGGGCCTTGGGCTTCGGAGGTAGTTCCCCTGTGTGAGGCTTCAAGATAGCTTCAGGCCTGCTTGAGGCAAGTGGGCTGGGGGGGAGGGGCGGATGCCATGGGGGCGGGAACTCATAGTGTGCGTGGTTGTGCACGCCTGCGTGTTAGGTATATGCATGCACCCATGTACATGCATACGCGCAGACGGACAGGATTGTTCTGAGTGCCCATGTTTTGTGGTGAGAAGGTTGGTAGGTTGCTTGCTTGGTTGGT